TTTTTTAAAGGCTGAGAATGTAACTTAGTGATAAAGCACTTGTATATTGTGCATGAGGCTTTGGGTTCAGTCTCTAGCACCAAAAAACAAAACAAAACAAATAAAAAACCTGTGAGCCAATGGTATGTGATAAATGTAGACCAATGAGCTCTGGGAGTAAAAGAAAATGCATTTTCTAATTTTTCAGATGTAAATATGCCCACTCTGGCCAGCGTCAAGCTGGCAGCCTGACCTCATCCAACACAAAACTGGAAAGAGACTCAGTTTCCCCTGTGAGCCATGAGCCAGCCACAGTACACAGCTGATTCTGGCCAAGCCAGTACCCCAGAGTGTGGGACTAGCACTACTGTATTAATTCATGTTAAACTGTGTGAAATAATTCATCCTCTATGGCCAACAGTGAGCATTTTGCTATCACTTGGAAACAACCATCTTTCAAGCCATTTTTCTGCATAAAGAGTCTTGGGGAAGACTGGATGTCTCCTGGAGTTTCAGAAATACTTTCTTTGTTGTATAAGCAATGCTCACCATGCCAGTTGTGCTCTGGATGTTTCTTTGGAAACTAATATCGCCTTCCACATAATACAGGTAATGCCGGGGCTGGTTAGGTTACAGGACAGTCCACAGAAGCCCCTAGCTCCCACCGCACTCCTGCAGTCCAGTGCCAGTACAAGAGTATTGTCTGGGGAAGAGCAGCCTCTGTTCCAGCCAGGGAAGACAAGATTGTGTGCCCCCTGGCCACAGTCTGGGCCATGAGAAAGCACACCCTTCCACCTCGCCACCTGCCATAAGCCAGAAGACTGAGGACTTGCAGCTGCCCTGAGTAGACTCCAGCACTAAGCCACACCTGCCTTGCTCTTACACCCAGAAAAGGACCGAAGGATAGGGGATTTCCCTGGAGGTGGTCAAGATGGCGCCGGAGGGGCCAGTAGCAGTAGTAGTAGTACTGATAGCAGTAGTACTAGTAGTGGTCAACTGGTAACATTGTTGTTACAGTTTTCACAACTTTTCTAATTTAACCCTTGCAGTGCTTCTATACGATATGTGAGGTTATCACCCCATTTATAGGCAAGCAAACCAAAGTTTAGAGAGGTCAAATCATCTGTTCAAATCACACAGCTAGGAAGTGGGAGAACTCTCTTGGGAAGGGCCTTCAACTCAGATAAATTGTGTAAATAGGCACATCTGAAGTTTTCCTTCTTACAAATAATTTAGAAGCCCAAATTCCTAAATTTTGTTCTAGGCTTCCATTGGATGGACCTAGTGAAAGCGTAGATTTAGCTCAGTTTATAATATGATGTTCTGCAATGCAGAAGTAGCCCAAAAACCAACCAGAAGGGGGAAAGGGGATAAAAACACGTAAAAAGCAAGCACAGCCTAGGGCTAAGCTAATAGCATTCCACCAACATCAACCTCCCTTAAGTAAGATGTCGGCACCGGGAGAAGCTCGGGGAAGGGTACACGGAGTTCCCTGAACTATTTCACAACTCTGTGTGTGTCTCAGCACCCGAATCTTACTGGCAAGATCATAGTGATGGAGCTGAAGCAGGGCCCACCGGACCTTTGTGCCCACCATGCCCTGCTCTCCTTTCCATTGTGGCCACTCCCTTCACGTTCCCTACACGTTTGTGTGTTACAGAACGGAGTTAAGTTAGTGTTTTAAAGTGTTTCCAGAGCTGGGAATGTAGGTCAGTTGTAGGGTGTTTGCGCAGGGTTCAATCCCCAGCCAGCACTGCCATCAAAATTTGTTTTTATTATTTTTGGGTTTTTTAGACCTGGGAAGAATGAGACATACCTTCTGAGTAGCTCTGGCACTTCTGCAGATATTCAGTGTCGCCACTGGACAAAGACCTAGGTGGGATTGTCGAGACTCTGTTCCACAGAGCTGTGTGGACCTGAAAAGTCCTGGTTGCAAAATTAAAAATATGCTGCTGAGCCAGATGAATGTGTCGTCACTCACTATTAGGCTGTGTGCTGTTACGTTTAAAAAACGAAATGTGAGGGGCTGGGGATTTAGCTAAGTGGCACCATGCCTGCCTTGCAAGTGCAAGGTCCCAAGTTCGTTCCCTGGTACCAAAATAAATAAATAAATAAATAATAAAAAGTGAAACAAGACCAAGAACACCCTCTAAAAATGCCGCTCACCAACAGGACAACCTGGTGAAAATGAAATGATTAGGTTCCAAACTTTATGCCTCTGCCTCCTTTATAATTTACCCGAGATGTTACATATACAATAAATACCTTTCCTTCTTCCCACATTGCCACACAGAACCAAGAGTCTGTTGCTCTTCAAAGATGCAGCACAAAATCTGAGATGCAGTATGCCCAGTCCCTGCCAAGATAACTTTCATAGGAAATCAGACAGCACAGCCTATGGACATAAGCTACAGTGAGTCTAGTTAGTCACAGTTTTTTCCTTAACAGCAAACAATACAAACTTGGCACCACTCGAAGAGCCTTGTGTATATCACTAGTTCGTTCCGTCCTCAAGACATTCCCGGTGAGGTAGGTGCATTCTTCCTGTTGTATCCATGAGGAAACCAAGGTGGAGAATGCAGGTGTTTTGCCCAAGGTCATCCTGTATTAATGGACAGTGGTAGGTCTGAGATTTGATGTGATAAGGTTTGGTTCCAGAGGCCACTCTGCTGTTCTACAACCTTACCTAACTATGGATTCTCTCAGGGAAAAAAATGCCCTTTTATATTTTTCCCCTCTATATTCTTTTTTCTGGCACTGGTGATCAAACAAGGGCATGTGGGACAAGTGCTCTAACCCTGAGCAATTCCCTCCTTTTACATAGCAACAAAGCTGAAACACGTCTGACTTGTCCCCTGCAGAAATGGAAAACAGAGGGGAGATGAGCCACTATCTCTTCCACTGCTCAAGTTTCCCACTTTGCTCTTTACACAAAGGGCACTTTGCCCCTGGAGTCACATGATGACCTGACACCACAACCCACAACCCGAGCTCCACTTGATCTTAGCCAAAAGGCGGAGAAGCGATTCACAGCCCGAGCTCTGTATGCTAGTGGTCCAGAAATAGAGTGACCAAATGCTCCAACTTACTAGGGATTTTATCACTAAGAGTTTCCCTCTCTGCCAGGCTGGTTGGTCCCTCTGTACTCTAGAACTAGGGAATGGTAATAAATTGTGGTAGCTGACACAGCCCTGGACTTTCAACCCAAGCAGCGAAAGAAAAACAGCTGACTCCACTAGGTGGCATCTGGACACTTTCACAGTATTTGCAGGGGAGGTGGAGATTTGGGGCACTGTCCTAGACAATGAGGGAAAGCGCTGAGCAGGCCAGGTTGTTCCTATGGTGGTGAAAGCCTCGCGGATTTGTCGGGACAGAAACAACCAGGCACTGGGGAAGATGTGAGCAGAGGCTGTGTGCTCTCCTCATTATCTGTCTGGAGACAGATGAAATTAGAGAACTGCGATGTCAGGGTTCTTGCAGAATCTGCAGTGCAGTGAGCAGAGCTGCTTATTAGGGGCTGACTCCCTAAGGGTGAATCAGTGAAGGAGATCAGACCCAGCCTGTCCTCCTCCCATTAAGAAAGGCTGCTTCTCCTTTTTCCCTTGTTTTCCCCAAACACCAGCTTGGGCCAGTCACAGGACACCTGGACAAAAGACTGCAAACCAGCCTCCTCCCTGCTGTGACTGGGGACCTCCTCCCCAGACCCTTGTCCCCTCCACAGGGCTCCCTCTCTTTCCTCATTCCTATTGCCAGCATTTGACCCTGTCTGCGTTGACCTTCAGGCAGAGGCAGACTCACCTTCCCAGGTGATCCCATACCTTAGGTGACCCTAAGGTGACAGCTTTCCTGATGGTACACGGGACATACAGCAAGTCCCCAAAGCGGTGAACCCAAAGCCACTGAAGACTAACATCCTCACTAGTGGTTTTCAAACTCCCCAGACTCCATCAGGAAACAGGTCAGCTTATGTCTGTCCCTGGGTCAGGGCTCTCCAGATTCCGTTTACCTGTCACCAGGCCGCTCAGATTGCCAGCCATACCTCTGTGAGAGAGGTTCGAATGAAGGATAAATGACCCTGGGGCATGAGTGCCCCCATGTCCCCCCTTACCTGTTTACAAAGTATGTGTGAGGGGACTCCATGGGGAACCAAGAGGAGGGAGAAGGGAGGGAGAGGGCGAGGGGGGAGGAGAAATGAAAAGAATCAAGATGTTATGTGCATGTACCAATTCCCCACGACGAATGTGGCCACTATGTACGGCAAACATGTACTAATATGCGCCGGTGATTTAGCTCGGTGGTTCTGCCGACTGCCTCCCAAGTGCAAGGTCCCAAGTTCGATTCCCGGAACCAAAAAAAAAAA